ATGTATGTTTTTGTGTGTACACTATATACATGCACTTGCATATATGTTCATGTATATAATTGTAGATACATTAATATATAGATATGTGCATATGTATGTATGAGTATGTAGGTGTGCATATGCATGTGCATGTATATATATATATATATACATAATATTTCTCAACATTTACTAAAGCAATACTTCCTCTTTTTTCGTATATTACCAATACAAGAGCCATAAAAAATCATTTTTGCCAGGAATTCCGTACGTTGTCCTTTACATCTGGCCGATAGAACTCCATATCAGTGTGTTTAAGTCTTGTGTAGTCGTAACATCTACAAATATCCTCCAAAAAAATCGAGTGTTTTTAACAAAAAAATATTAGTGATATGGATATATAAATTATTACAGGTAAATAATTTTGCTTCTCAATTTTATATAAAACCTTTTTTAGTTAATTCTACTATTACCCTTTACCCCGGTACATAATCCATTCCTTTATAAAATTTTTTTTTCTAATTAATCTGTATTGACCATCATTAATTAATGTTAATCAATATTTTTAAAAAACATTGTATTTGACAGAATAAACCTGATGATGGAACGTACCTAGTTCCAAAACGTCGTATTAAACATCTTCAAAAAACAAATTGTTTTTATTATTGGATTTACTGTTCGGAAAAGAAACAATCAATATATTGAAAAATCCAGGACTTATCTATTGAATATATATATATATATATATATATATATACTAGCAAACCCGACGAACTCCGTTTCGCCACCAGATGGTTTAAAGAATTTGTTTGTTTGGTTTATATTTGAAAAGGAAAAATTTGATTTTATTATACAACAGTAATGAATTTATTTCAATTACAAAAATGAAGTGTTTTTTAGTTGAACTTCTTTAAGTAAATGAAAGTGAATCCGCATATTATCCGTTTCATTGAAGTGCTCTTTGGTAAACTACATTTTTGTTTTTTGGTCTGACGTTAACACAACAAAGCGGATGGTTTTACAACTCGTGAAAAGGCAACGTATAACTGCCCATGTGAAAAACAATGATTTTCTAAATAATTTATTTGAAATTTATCCCGCAAACACTGAGCGATTGGCCTTGCGACTTGTTATTGCGAACTGGATATTGCAATCGTTTGAAGACAAACGGAAGACCAGTCAGAATTATTGGTATGTCACCAAATCGCCAGCAATTTTTGATTAAATGGTAAATTCAGGGCGTGTACATCATTATTCTTTGCGGCAAAAAAATTGCTCGTTGACTTCACCAAGCATATTTCCGATAATTCTCAATAATTGTTTATTACTCGAATTTTTAATTACGGTGCGTGAAGTTCCAGCAATTTGCATTAGGGCACGATGCCATGCACCACTAATTTTCTTAGCTATATCCCTTGCGGAGCCCGAGACCTTTT